CACAACAACAACAACAACATCATCAACAACAACAACAACAACATCAGCAACAGCAGCAGCAACAGCAACAACAACAGCAACAGCAACAGCAACAACAACAACGCAACAAACATAATCCTCACCACGGGTCCGCACTGGAACTACGCACCCAGGGACAATGAATGATCGTTCGGCCCCCTCATTCTGACAATATGTGGTACAATATGCGCAGGGACCCCCGAGGTTGTGAGCCCTGTCTTCTCACGGTCCTATGCGTATTCACAGTTCCGCCCCACTACCAGGCCTGGGGCCTGTCTCGCCGAATTCCCGATGCCAAGAAATGGTATGTGGTGGTATATTTGAGATACAGTCCATGTTGTGTAATATATATATATATATATATATATATATATATATATATATATGGTGAAACCTATGTGGTACAATGTATGTGGCGGAACATATATGATGTACAATTTACGTGGTACAACCGACCTGGTGCAATCTAAATGATGCAATGTATGTTATTTTTATGGCGTGTGCGTCTACCCTTGAAATGTGGTCGTGGGCCGCTCCACCACAGCATCTACTACGACGCCAACCCATTCAAAATGTCCATCACAGGCGCGCGCTGAGCAAGCCGACCCAGCCGACGGTTCCCTGGATTTGGTGTTCTTGTACCTCGACGACGGCTGCCTGGCTGGGGACGCGCCCGAAGTTGGCCGCCTCCTGCACCACCTGGCGAGGCGCTTCGCCGCAGCTGGACTGGACCTCAGCACCGGGCCGGGCAAATGCGAGGTGGTTCCTGCCAGCTGTGGGCGCCCGACATGGGTACGGAAAGAACGGGCACAATGCCCAACAGCAGTTCCTCTTCATTCTGAACAGGACTCGCTGTCGGTGTCGCCGCGGCCTGTGTCCATTTGAGACCGAAGGCCGCCTGCCCAGCAGCGGCCGCTGTTGGTTTGGGGCAACATCTGTTGCTGAGCATTGTGCCCATTTTTGTCGGTACCCATTCCGGGCGTCCAAACCAGCGGCGCCGACAGCAGCGTGGATGCGACCGCGGTCAAGCAATGCTTCCGCTTCAGGCCTCAGGGAAGACAACAGCTTCGAACTCTTGGGGGCCCCCGTGGGGGACGACAGCTTCTGCGCGAAACGCACCAGGGCAAGAGTGGCCAAGGCCGTTGACCTGCTTGAAGCTCTCGGGGCCTTGGAGAACGCCCAGGTGGCCTTGCTCTTGCTCCGCCAGTGCGCCTCCTACTGCAACGTGGGCTACTCCGCGCGCGTGATTTCGCCGACGGCGCACACTGGCGCGCTGCAGACCATGGACTCCGTTGTCCGGGCATGTCTGGAGCACCTCAGCGGGTGTTCCCCCTTGGACGACTCTTGGAAGCAAGCGCGGCTCAAACTCAACCGAAGCGGGCTCGGGCTCCGCTCCTCCGAGAGGCACGCGGCGGCCACCTGCCTAGCCTCTCGCGTTCGCAGCGAGGAACTCTGCCGACAGCTCTACGGAACCTACGACGACTCCTACGGCGGAGACGGATGCAGCCCGGCCGCGGCCACCCAGGCTTTCAACGACGCAGTCCTTCCAGCAAGCCGAATCACTTTCGATCCCGCCCAGCACGTAGACCAACGGCTCCTCTCTGGAAAAGTGGGCGACGCTGTCCGCGACGACCTCTGGCAAGGCGCCTCGCCTGCGACGAGGACCCACCTCAACTCGGTGGCGGCCCCGGGCGTTGGGACCTACTTGCAAGCGCCGCCGTGCCGGGCGCTCGGCACCGACTTGCCGCACAGCAAGATGCAAGTGGCGTTGCAGCGCCGCCTTCGACACCAGCTGCTCGAAGAGGGGGCGTTTTGCCCGGCGCGCGGGGAAATGATGGACGTGTTTGCAGACCACGCGCTCACCTGCAGATGTCGCGGTGACCGCACGAAGCGCCACAACTGCCTCCGGAACCAAGCTTGGCACGAGGCGCTGGTTGCTGGCTACGCTGGGGCTGCATTCGAGCGCCCGGGCTTGCTGCTGCCGCGCGCATTTGGGGAGGGCCCCCCGGCCGGCGAGGCTAGCGGCGACGACCTGGACGGCGACGGGAGGCGCCCCGCGGACGTCTTCGTCCCGCGGTGGCGAGGCGGCACGCCAGCGGCGTGGGACCTCGCCGTAACCTCGGGCCTCCGCGCGGACCTGCTCGCGGCTTCGGCCGCGGATGGCGGCGGCGACGCAGCGGTGACCCGCCACGAGGAGCAGAAGCGCTTGCACCTGGACGCAGAGCGCAAATCCTCAGAGGCCGGCCTGACGTTCGTACCGATGGTCTGCGAGGCCCACGGCGGCGGCTTGGGCCGCGAGGCGCGACGCGCCTTCGCGGTGCTCGCAGAGCGTGCGGCCGACGCTACCGGACGCCGCGCTCGCGGCCGACCAGCTTGCTCAGCGATTTTCAACTTCCATGCGCAGGGAAATGCGCGGGCAGTGCTGCGGCGCCTCCAGCTGCGAGCGGGCGCGGCGGCCGAGCGGTTGGCCGCGGCCAACGCAGCCGCCGCGGCAGATGCTGCGTGAACCGCGCCCTGCCCGCTCCTGCCCCCGCCCCCGCCGTCGACCCCGCCCGCCCTGCCCGACGCCCCGCCGTTGTGACGGCCCGTGACCCAAGACGGCCAGCAGCCCCCGCGACGACCACGACGACCCCTTGACCAACGACGGCCCACGACAACCCTCCGACGTCCACCGACGCCACTCGCCCCCTCCGCCCCCCGCCCGCCCCATGCGTGCGCGCTTGTCTGCTGCTGCCTTGCTGCCTTCGCCGCCCTCCCTCTCCTCCTGCGTGGTGGCGTCTGTTCGCTGTGTTTTTCTTTTTCCTGCTCGTCCTCCTCCTCCTCCTCCTCGTCTTCCCCTTGCCGGTCCCTCCTCGTTGTCGGCGACGAGGCAGCCTGCCGGCGGGGGCCGGCGGGCTCTCCCACCCCCGCGTAGGACGCCAGTGGCTCGAGGCGCTCCCTCACGCACACCCATCTGGAACGACGTGGTCGCTTCTGCATCACAGGCGCTGCTAAATGATAGGAGTCCGACAACGGAAGGGCCTTGAGTGTCTCATGGCTGTCCCATGAGACATTTAAGAGTTGTCCGTTGGCGGGGCTCTCCTGAGATCATATGGGACAAGAAGAACAACGAGAACAGACGACAGCAACGACAATACCAACAAACAACAACATCACCATCAACAACAACCTCAACAAACGACGACGACAGCAACAGCAACAACTATATCAGACACCGAACTTTCTGGTCGTTCGGCCGGCCCTATGGTCATCGGGCCCAGGCGTAACACGCGCACGCACACACATCCGGCGAAGACACCGAGTGAACGCAGCACAATTTCAGCAGCAGGCACAGCATGGACGACCTGTACAGCATTTCCAACAACACAACCAGCATCAAGAGCAACGGCAACAACGACATTAACATCAACAAACGTAATCCACATCTTGACATGTGTTAAGATAAAAGTTCTCGCAGCCACGATTGATTAATAAGTCCTATGGTTCGATGTGGTCCGATCACAACGAAAGCCACACACAATGCCAGCTAACCCTTCGACCCGCAAAACAGAAACAGCAGCAGCAGCAGCAGCAATACTGCCAAGAGCAGAACTACAATAGCGACAACACACCACAACAAAAAGCACGGCACCTATAACGCTACCATACCATGACGCCGTCTCCAAGGGATGTTCCGTGACATGCGAACGCCGTTTCCAAGGGGTATTCCGTGACATACGCAGCTTGCTTTCGCAAAGCCAGCAGTTACAATTGGCAGCATTTTATATTCTTGTTTGCTTGCGCATTATCGCGACTGCAATGTGAACATTGACGCCGCACCCATTCATCTCATCGTGCTGTTCGTGTGGGCCCCAGCAACCTCACCAGTGACAACAACAAACATAACAATACCCTCAACAACACGTAAATCTATAGAGGCAGCAACGGACAGATGATTTCAAGATTGACCCAAAAATGGTTCTGAAAGGATCGCAAGACTACGCCTGCGGGTCTAAGATGGCAGCCCTGCTAAGCAATGGCCCCAAGATGATTCCAGAGCGACCCTAGAGCGACCCTGCGGCCCCAAGTGAACTCTGAGACGAACCCATGGTCCTGCGACTGAGCTAAGGCTACCGCGTGATCCCGATTTGATTCCGAGGTGGCCCCGAGACGAACCCATGAGCCCGAGACGACCTCGAGATTGCCTCAAGATGACCCTGTGAACCCTAGTTGACCCCAAGATTGCCCCGGTATGGCTCCAATGTGACTCCGATGCGTTTGTCCCTTCTGCGTTTGCCCTTGACTTGGGCCGATAGGACGAATGGGGGTGCTGGCCCTCCGCCCCCTCGTCGTCGTCGTCGTCGTCGTCTTCCTCCACCTCGCTCTCGTCGCCCTCGTCGCCCTCGTCGCCCTCGTCGTCGTCGTCGTCGTCGCTGTTCGCCTGGCCCCTCCAGCCCAACGAATAGCCGAAAGCCGTATCCCAGACATAAGCCGAGTCCACCATGTCTCTGATTGGATGAAGGCACGGCCCGCCACTGGAGGCGCTTGAAATGGCCCGTCGGCGGGAGCGAGCAGGGTGCGCGCGGGGACCTGGCTTCGTTCTAGGACGGCCTTGATTTGGTCGCCCTTGATCCTGATCGGACTCCTCAGTCTCCTGTTCCGCCTTCTCCTCGTCGGGTCGTCCCTGCCCCCCCGCCCCTGCCATATCCGCCTCGCCCCCCGCCGTGCTGCAATCCCTGCCGCGCCGTATCCATCTGAGGCTCAAGTAAAGCGGAAGGAAATCTGCATGCTTTGAGATCCGACGACGCGACGAAAGTTGCAGCACCGTGGGCAGTCACGACCAGAGCCCTGGACCCTGTCCTTCTGCATCATTCTTCGAGCCAGATCGGTCTGCAAGGGTCCCAGGTCCCGAAACTGTACGACACCGCCCCGCTCGAACAAGCATTGCGACGCCAGGATCTCCAGGCGGGGGAGCACCCCCGTCGACTCCGCCCGTCCCTGCCATGCCGCCCGTGGCCACGGCGTCCGCCCGCCCGACCGCGCCCGCAGAGTGCAGCGGAGACGTCCCCCCCCCCCCCGACCGGCACGAGCAGCCCGAGGCCGACCTGGCGGCACCGCTGCCGCCGCCGGCAGCCTCCCGGTGCGGCAGGGTCGTGGAGCGGTGCCCGCCGCTGCGGGAGCGGGTGCGCCGAGGGCCGGGCGTCGGACTCTGCTCGAGACAGGCGTTGTCGCACGGCTCGATGGTGCGCAGGACGCGTTAAGCAGCCCGTCTGTGCGTGTCACCGCGTTCAGCTTCACTGGCGGCGCGCAGCTTGTGCCAGCCCTCATTACGCCGCCTGCGTCGTGCTGAAGCGCTCGGGTGGACGGACAAACACACGTTAGCGCTAACACACCTTCTGGGGATCATCGAATAATGGCCGGCCCCTGGGCTCTCACATATCGATCGGGCTCGAAACCGTGGCGCAGAAAGGTGAGTTCCTGATGTTCGGTTTGATTTTTCGCGATGTTGCATTTTGTCCGCGTCGTCGGATCTCAAGGTCCCGAGGGCAACGTGTTTTGTGGTTGTTTCGTAGTTTTTCACCGGTTTAGCCTGAACGGGCTGTGGGTTTGGCAGAAACTGCTCTTGACGAAAAGCTGGTTCTGGGGAACGTTCCTGGCGTCCAGGACCTGTTTCTTTCAATACCGATTGGTCCAGCCAAGGTACGCAGATCTCGTCGCAGACTACCCAGGGATGGTTTGCTGCGTTGTGTTAGTGGTCGTCTGCCTTTTCATCATGTTGTGTGGTGCCGTCGCTTCCATGGAGGATGAATTTATCGTCATCGATTTTTCCCTCGACTCCATGCAGGCCCGTGGGGACGAGATTTCCGACAGGGATGAAGCCTTGTCGGCCGCATGGTGTGGCGGACCGTGCGACGACGACGACCATAGACTCAGACGCCGCTTAGACGACCGAGGACTCAGCAGCCATTGGAACATCCAGCTGCGCTGTCGCGCAGATCCACCCTTGTGTTTGTGCCCTTGTATTGTGCCCTTGTCTTGGCAGTGTTCGTGGGGTTGATCTGGTTGCGCGTGGCTGGTTCAGCTTGTGTGCGCATAGGCGGCGGATCCCAGCTCGACAGCAGAGCATGCCGGTTTTTTACCACCACTCTGCAGCAGTGCGGTGGCTTTCTCGGGGACCTCTTGGGGGTCCCTTGGAGGCCCTTCGCGGGGCCTGTCAAGAGACGTTCGGGTGTCTCTTGGAGGCATCTTGGCAGCATCTCTGGGGCATGCTGAGGACATGTTTGTGGCATTGGTGCCTTGTTGGGTCGTTTCGTCGCCGTCTTGAGGTCCTCTTGGGGCCGTGTCGGCGGCCTCTTGGGCCATCATGGGCCATCTTGGAGACCTGTCGAGCGATCTTGGGGCCGTCATGGGGGCCTCTTGCGGCTTCTGGAGCCGTCGGAAGGCCAAAAAGAAGCAAATGCCAAAATCCGTCGAAAACTAAAAACAGAAAACCACTGATTTGGCCCATTCGGGCCTTCCTGGAAACCTCTTGGAGGCTTCTGGGGTCGTTTAGGAGGCCTCTTCGGGAGCCTCTTGGGCCGTCGTGGAGGCTTCTTGGGCGGACTTGGAGGCATCTTGGCCCCCCTTGGGCCGTCTTGTTGGCCATCTTGGACCCTCTTGGGCCGTCGTGGAGGCCATCTTGGAACATCTTGGGCAAACTTGGAGGCCCTCTTGGGCTCGTTTTGGAGGCTTCGTGGGCTGTCATGAGGTCATTTTGGAGGCCTTTGGAGCCATCTTGGCGCGATTTGGGGAGCCTCTTGGGCAGTCTCGGGCCGTCGGAAGGCAGAAACAACAGGAAATGCCAACAGCTTTGAAACAAACTTACGGAACTTCAGTAAGCTTGGCCTCTTCGGGCGGGGGGATCTTTTTGTTGGCCTCTTGGGCCGTCTTGGAGTCTTCTTAGGGGTTCCTTGGGCCGTCGTGGGCCGTCTTGGAGGCGTCTTTGGCAGATTTGGAGGCATCTTGGGAATTTGGGGCTCTCTTGGGCCGTGTTATTGGCCATCTTGGACCCTCTTGGGCCGTCTTGGAAGTGATCTTGGATTATCTTGGGCGAACCTGGAGGCCTCTTGGGGTCGTCTTGGAAGCTGCTTGAGCCGGCACGAGGTCAGCGTTGAAGCCTTCCTTGGACCATCTTGGCCCGTTTTGAGGCTTCTTGGACGATTTAGAAGGCATCTTGGACCCTCTTGGGCCGTCTTGGAGGCCATCTTGGACCATCTTGGGCAAACTTGGAGGCCATCCTGGGCCATCTTGGCCGTCTTGGAGGCCAACTTGGGGCAACAAAGGCATCGACGGACGCGTTTTGAGATCCTTCCCGGGACCCCGGCGGGACGGGCCGAAGCCCCAGGGGGAGTTCTTGTGGAAAAGAACCAGAACCCAAACCGACATAATTTGGCACGCCAGGCACCCCTCTTGCAAGCAACAGGGGGCGGCGGAGAAATCAACAGGGGGCGGCGGATCGAAGACGCCTACGGCGAATCACCGCCGCCCCCTGCCTTTTTGGAAGCGCCTATGTGGCCGAACGTTGAGGCCAGACCTGCCAAGCTATCGGACCATGCGTTCCCCGAATCGGTTTGGAAAGCCTTCGGGGAACACGTGGGCATCTTGAAGGTCATCTTGGCCGTCTGGAGGCCATTTGGACCCTTTCGGGCTTTCTTGGAGGACGTCTTGGAGGGTTCTTGGGCCGTCTTGGAGGCCATCTTGAGCGTCTTGGAGACCTCTTGGGCCGTCTTGGGGGCCTCTCGGGGCCGTGTCTTGGGCCTCTTGGCCGATCTTTGGGGGCACTTGGGCCGTCTCGGGCCGTCGGAAGGCAGAAACAAAAACAAATGCCACAATCCTTCAACAACTCATGGGAAATCAGTGATGTTGGCCTTTTCGGGCCTCCCTGGAGGCCCTCTTGGAGGCCTCTTGGGCTGTCTTGGGCCATCTTAGGGCCATGTTCGGCCGTCTTGGTGGGCTCCTGGTCCGTCTGACGCCGTCGGAAGCCGTTTGGGGGGCCTGTATCGGCCGACTTGGGGCCCTCTTGGAATGCTCCAGGGCCATCTTGGAGGCCATCTTGGGCGTCTTAAAGGCCTCCTGTGCCGTCTTGGGGGCTTCTTGGGTCCGTCTTGGAGCCCTCTTGGGCCGTTCTGGGGTCATCTTGGAGGCATCTTGGGCGATCTTTTGGCGATCTTTGGGGGCTCGTGGGTCGTCTCGGGTCGTCGGAAGGCCGAAAAGAAGCAAATGTCAAAATCCGTCAAACTTAATGTTTTTGGCCTCTTCTGGCCTTCCTGGAGGCCATCTTGGGACCCTTTTGGGCCGTCTTTGGCCAGCTTCGAGCCAACTTCGGCCATCTTGGTGGGTTCCTGGCACGTCTGACGCCGTCGGGAGCCGGGGATGATGATTAGGATGAGGACGAGGATGAAGATGATGGGGGAGGAGGAGGAGGAGGAGGAGGAGGAGGAGGAGGAGGAAAAGGAGGAGGACGAGGATGAGGAGAAGGATGAGGCTGGAAGAGGAGGAGTAGGAGGAGGAGACCTCTTGGGCGGCCTCTTGGGAGGCCTCTGCGGAGCTTCTCGGGAGCCTCGTAAAGGCCTCTTGGGAGCTTCCCTGGGCCTTTTGGGGGGCTCTTGAAGGTATTTGGGGGCTTCTCGGGAGCCTCTTTGGCCGTCTTAGGGCGTTCCTGACCCGCCCAACGCCGTCGGAAGCCGTCTTGGAGCCTCTCTGAACCGACTTGGGGTCCTCTTGGGGCGCTTGGGGGCCGTCTTGGAGGCCATCTTCAGCGTCTTGGAGGCCTCTTGGCCCGTCTTGGGGCCCTCTTGGACGCCTCTTGGATCGTCACGGGGCCATCTTGGAGGCCTCTTGGGCGATCTTCGGGAGACCTTGGGGGCCTCTTGGGCCTTCTTGGGCTATCGGAAGGCCGAACATGCGCAAATGCCAAAATCTTTCAAACACCCGAGGCAAATCAATGATTTGGGCCTCTTCAGGCCTTCCTGGAGGACCTCTTGGAGGCCTCTTGGGCCGTCTTGGAGGCCTCTTCGGGGCCTCTTGGATCGTCTTGGGCCAGCTTGAGGCCATCTAAGGCCGTCTTGGGTGCATATTGGGCCATCTGAGAGGCATCTTGGGGTCATCGTAGCTGTCTTGGAGGCCATCTTGGCCGTCTTCTAGACATCTTGGGACCATTTTGGGCAATCTTGGCCGTCTTCGAGGCCATCGAAGGCGTCTTGGAGGCCTCTTGTTCGGTCTTGGGGCTCTCCGTCATGGGGCCATCTTGGAGGCCTCTTGGGCGATCTTCGGGCGACCTTGGGAGCCTCTTGGGCCGTCTTGGGCCGTCGGAAGGCCGAAAATGCACAAATACCAGAATCCTTCAAACACCCAAGGAAAAACAATGATTGCGAAGGCCTTACGGCCGTTGCCGCCGACCCTGAAGATGACGAAAGACAACACGAGGGGGGGGGTAGGAGGAGGAGGAGGAGGAGTAGGAGGAGGAGGAGGAGGAGGAGGAGGAGGCGGAAGGGAGTAGGAGGAGGAAGGGTGAAGGGGGAGGAGGAGGAGGCCTTATGGATGTTGGTTGGGATCTCGTGGTTGACCTCTCGGGGGCGTCTGGAAGGTAACTTGAAGCCTTTTGAGGGCCGTTGTGAGGCCTCTTGGGGCCTCTTTTGGGCCTCTTGGGGCTTCCGGAGGCCGTCTTCGGCGCATCTTGGGGGCGTCTTGGCGCCGCTCGGGGGCCTCTTGGGGCCTTTTGGGGGCCTCTTGGGGCTTCCCGGGGGCCTCTTAGGGCGGAAGTCTCGAATTCTCGGTTCCTCGTCCCCCTCTTGGCCGTTTCTTGGGCCCGTCTTGGGGCCCTATTGGGCCGTTTTGGGCGCCTCTTAGGCTGTCCTGGGGCCTTCTTGGGCCGTCTTGGGGCCCTCTTGTAGGCCTCTTGGGGCGCTCTTGGGGGCCTCTTGGGGGCCTCTTGGGCCGTCTTGGAGTGTCGGAAAGCCGAAAAGGCGAGAAGGCCAAAATCATTCAAAAACCTATGTAAAATTGACGATTTTGGCGCCTGGGGCCCTCTTGGGTGTGCTCTTGGGGCTCTCTTGGAGCGTCTTGAGGGCCTCTTGGGCCGTCTTCGGGCCGTCTTGGGCGTCTTGGGGCCATCGTTCGTCGAGTCGAGGCCCTCTTGTACCCTTTCGGGGGTGTCTTCTGTCGCTCTTGGCTCGTCTTGAAGCTTTTCTGAGCTCCGGGACCCCCCGGGGAGGATGCGTATCTGGGTGGCGACCCCCCCCGGGACCCCCCCCGGCGACCCCCCCCCCCCACCCCCCCCCCCCCCGGCGGGGAGGGTAGGGAGGGGCTTCGCCACGACTCAACTACGACGTTGCTCAATGTCGCTTTGGCTCGCGCGCTCAAGGAGACGGGGAACGACGAAGACGACGAGGGACAACGGAGACGGAGACGACGAGGACACGACGGAGACGACGACGACGACGACGACGACGGTGATCCACGCAAGACGACGACACCGGGATGCGTCTTCCACACGCCGACAGGGTCGGCGGATTTTGGCCTCGTCAGGCCTTCCTGGAGGACCTCTTGGAGGCCTCTTTGACCCGTCTTGAAGGCCTCTTGGGGGCCTCTTGGGCCCATCTAAGGCCGTCTTGGGTGCATCTTGGGCCGTCTCGGAGGCATCTAGGGGCCATCTTAACCGTCCTGGAGGCCATCTTGGGCGTCTTGGAGGCATCTTGGAGGCTATCGTGAGCCATATTGGCTGTCTTGGAGGCTATCTTGGGCGTCTTCGAGGCCTCTTGGGCCGTCTTGGGGCCGTCTTGAGAGCCTCTTGTGCCGCCGTGGGGCCATCTAGAAGGCCTCTTGGGCGATCTTGCGGCGACCTTTGGGGCCTCTTGGGCCGTCTTGGGCCGTCGGATGGCCGAAAAGGTGCAAATGCCAAAATCCTTCGAACACCTCAGGAAACTCAATAGTTTTGGCCTTTTTGGGCCTTCCTGGAGGACCTCTTGGAGGCCTCTTGGGCCGTCTTGGAGGCCTCTTGGGAGCCTCTTGGGAGCCTCTTGGACCGTTTTGGGCCATCTTGCGGCCATCTTAGGCCGTCTTGGGTGCATCTTGGGCCATCTTGGAGGCATCTTGGGGCCATCTGAGCTGTCTTGGAGGCCATCTTAGAACCGTCTGGAACGAAACCAACCCTTTGCAACCACCTCTGGGCAATCCTTCCGGGTAGCCGGCGGGACGGGCCGAAGCCCCAAGGAGAGTTCTTTTGGAAAAAGAACCACAACCATGACCCATATAGTTCGGCACGCCAGGTACCCCTTTGATAAATCAAAAGGGGGCGGCGGATCGAATGGCCTTCGGCCCATCCCGCCACCGTGCCTGGGTTGTGGGTATGGAGCCTTTTTGATGTTCGCTGGGATCTCGTGGGAGGCTTCTCGGGGGCCTCTTGGAGGCAGTTTTGACGCCTCTGGGGGGCCGTTTGGCTGCTGGGGCCTCTTGGGGGCCTCTTGGGGCCCCCTGGGCGCCTGTTGGGGCCTCCTGGGGCCCTCTTGGGGCAGAAGGCTAGGATGTTTGATTCGTGCTTCGGGGCCCCTCTTGGGTCCCTCTTGGGCCGCTTCGGAGCTCTCTCAGAGGCCTCTTGGGCCGCCTTGGGGCGGCTTGGGCGGCCTCCTAGGGCCGTCTGGGAGCGTCGGGCAGCCGAAAGGCGAGAACGCCAAAATCTGTCCAACATAAGGGAACTGTGTAATTTGGGCCTCTTGGGGCCCTCTACGGAGGCCTCTTGGAGACCTTTTGGAGGCCTATTCTGGCATCTTGGAGGCCTCTTGGGCGTTCGGGGCGCCATCGTGAGCGTCGTGGAGCGGTCGTTCGTCAACTCGGGGCCTCGTTGGACCGTTTGGGGGGCTTCTTGGGGCCATCTTGGCTCGTCTTGGGGCCCTCTTGGGCCAGAAAAAGTATCGCGACAGACCGCGCCACGCCCCAGGGCAAGGCCCGAGAGATTTGGCAATTTGGGCTCCAGGCTCCAGGCCCCGTCAAGACTCCCCAGGGGTGATGACTGAGGCTTAAAGGACTGGGCCCAGGACCTGGGAACACGCCCACTCCGTGCCCAGCGGCACGGTGGCGGAAACTACGACACATACCATGATACATCACCGCGCATGTTGCACAATTGTACTCAACCTCTGCGCTTCCAAGTTTGAAATACAATACCTTCGCAAAGACATCGTTCAGACGCGCGCGCATCCTGCAATGCAATGTCGCGCATGTCGCAACAATACTGGCTTACGCTCGCACAGCATACTTTTCTATGCCCTTTCCAAAGGTCCGCAGGAGGCCCCACACAACGCCCCAAAGCCGCTGTTGACCCTGGAGCCCCCGACCTCGAAAGCAGGCGCCGCTGTGTCAGGCTTACCAGAGCTAGGCACCTGTCCAGGCGCGACAACATGGCGGCGCCGATCCCAAGTCGGCACTTCCCTCACACGTTCCGTGCCCCCACAAGGAGCTCCGACGAAGATGTCAATAGCAAAGTCCGCATGGCGGCGCCCCCCCAAATTCGGTTCATCCCTCACGCGTTTCGCTGCCGTCAGGAAGTTCCACATAGCTTGTCGAATGCCCTTGTCAACACACCTCTCACACGCGTCGGCGGCGTCATCGGGCGCCGTCGTATGGCGCACGCGCCCCCAGTTCGACACACACCTCTCACACTGTTCGTGGCCCGCGTGGAGCTCGACCTACGGCCCCAGTGGGAGGGTCCGCTTGGCGGTGCCGCCCACTTCAGCGCACCCCTCACGAGCCGTCCTCCTTAGGGAATTCCAATTCCGTCCTCAATGGGAAGGTCAACGTGGGAACGCCATCCATCTCGGCGCATAGTTCACATGTTTCGTGGGACCAGGTGGAGCTCCAGTTGTGGCTCCAGTGGCAGGGTCCGCGGTCCGCCGCCGCATGATTCAGCATCAATATCTCGTTGCCCCCAGTCAGTGCAAGCATCGCTCGGGGGGCAGTGTCGGTGCACAAATGTTGTGGCAGTGGAAAAGGCGGCCCGAATCGACCACAGCTGCAGAGTGCAGCGGCGGACGATGACTGTCGCATACGTCAGCAGGGCGGGCGACGGCTCCAATGTCCTGACGGAGTCTCTGCTGCCACAGGTCCGCAGAAGGCACATGTGCACCGCCATGCTGGGCCAGGGCGACCCTGGGCCTTACGGCGGTGTCTAGACCCTCTTGGCTTCGGCCAGGCGGGCGTTTACACCGTGCCAGGGCCTATGATGGTCCTGGCCAGGCATGGTGGCGGTGCACAGACGCCTCGTGCGTGGCAGGTGCTCGAGCTCGAGCGCCGGGCGGTTGATGTTCTTGGCGAACCGTCGTACACGGTGTTGCCGTCGTTGTTCCCAGCCTACCCGTCCGCTTCTGGCATGAAGACAGCGGAGACCTTGCAAGAAGAGCTCGGCGCGCTTGCCATGCTCAGCACGAGCGACGCCGACTCGGGAAGACCTTGGCCCTCCTTCGACATGAATTTCACCGAGTGTAGCTTGAGCTCCAGTCTTGTTACGTCGACGTTCTATGCTGAACCTCATGTATGGCGAGACATTTACTCTGATGTGTTGCCTGAGATCGAGACCGACGACTTGTATCTGACCTTTTTCTGGGGTGGCAACGGCAACGAGCCCGATGTGTTCGCCATAGATCGAGAAAATTTGATTTCAGGGGACATGCTTCTGCTTATTGGCGTGGTCCTGATGGTGATTGTGTTGATCGCGCTGCAAACGAGGAGCGTTTTCTTGTCTCTCGGCGGCATGCTCGCGATACTCCTGGCCATGGTCATGGCATTTGGCATATACCGGATATTCGTGTCGAATTGGTTCGGCATGTTGAACTCATTCTCGCTCTTCCTGCTGCTCGGGATCGCCTGCGACGACATATTCGTGATCGCTGACGCTTGGCGGCTGACCACTGAGTCCAGCGGCTTCGCCCCCGCCGACTACAGGGGCCGGCTGCGCAGCATGCTCCCCCGCGCCGGTGGCGCCGTCGCCACGACGTCGCTGACGACGGCGGGGGCATTCTTCGGGAGTTCAGGAAAAAAAGCATACCGACACTGTTGCGCTTCCCTCGCTCTCGCTTTTGTTGGCCCTCCATGCGGGGCTCTCGTCGCCACGGTTGGCGTCGCCTCGGAGTCCCAGCCTCGATAAAGAATAAGAAACAGCATGAGTATAGATTGTATGATATCCGCGCAGATTTCTTGGATCGTAGTTGGGCTCCCTGACGGCGCCTCCAGCGCCGTCCCTGCGAGGGGGTCTAGTGCCGAGCCAAGGAATCCGCGCGGTCATCGGAGAAAGCATGTCGTCTGTTGCACTTTCATGGTCGGAGCGCGCCACGTGAGAGGCCAGTGGATTCGCGTTACAGGTGTTTTACCCCTTTCCCCAGGAACGCCATCTCGATCATCCCGCCGACGCGGCTCTTCGGGCTCTTCTCCGGCTGCCTCGTCCTCGCAGACTGGGCCCTCACGGTCTTCCTCTTGCCAGCCATCCTGGTGCTTCAGCACAGGTGGTTCGGCGGCGCCTGGTGTGAGCACCGGAGCGGGGCAGGCCACAAGCCGCGGATGCTGGACAAGCTCCTGGCGAGGAGGTTCGCTCCCCTGGTGCTTCGATGCTCGCCCTTTCTCCTGGTCCTTATGGCCGCTCTGGCTGCCGTGTCTTTCAACGTTGCGCTCGAGATGAAGCCCGCCGCCGAGTGGCACAACAGCGACGTCATGCCCAGCTCGCACAACCAGCCCAGGGCGCACAGGGCGCAGCAGGCGATGAGGAATCTCGAGCCCGAGTATGCGTGGATCCACCTCGTCTACGGGGTGATCCCCGAGGACATCCCCCCGCCTCCACTTCCTCCCCAAGCTCGCCCTCCTTTCCTAGCTCCTCTTCCCACTGCCTCGAGCCCCAACTCCAGCCTTAGACCTGCGTGACCTGGGCACAGAGCTCACCCTCGCTCCTCCTGTTTGTTGAGGACACCGGCGACATGAACGACCCGAAATCGAAGTCCGACGTCTCCTGGGGCACCCCCGTCGACATTGCCGCTCCCGCGGTCCAGGAGTTTGTCCTGGACCTCTGCAGTGAGCTGCTCGCGAAGCGCGGCCTGGTCAGGCGTGTTGCCAGCTGCTGGGCCCAGAACGCCGAGGAGTTCGCAATCGAGCAGGCGATTGATTTTCCGATCCAGGACGCCTGGATTTTTGAGTCGTCCTGGAATGATTGGAGGTGGCAAGGAGCACGGCGGATGCCCGACGGGTCGGGGCACTGGTTCACCATCGACGTGGAGATGACATTGAAGTCGGACGAGACAGTCTCGGCCACGCGCGTAGCGTTCGACGAGTGGGAAGCATTCATGGATCGCTGGAACGACGAGGCCAAGCAGCGTGGCCTGCAGAGCCTGTCGGAAGGTTTCCAGCTTTCAGGGCGGTGGCGTTTCATGGCCACTGTCGAGGCCATGGCCAACACCGCCTTCACCGCATGCTGCATATCCTCGCTCATTGCCGCTGTCTTGCTGCTGGTGACCATGCGTAATGTGGTGATGGTACTCGTCATAATTGCCAACGTCGCTGCCATTTGCCTTTCGCTTGTGGCCTGCTTCGTCATCGAGGGCCGTGGCCTGGGTGTGCTTGAAGGCATCGCCATGACACTTCTAGTTGGACTTTCCGTGGACTACCTGGTGCACGTAGCGACAGCATACCTTGACACAGATCAGGCCTTGCCTCGCGGAAAACGCACGTTAAACGCTTTGGCGCATTTGGGAGGTTCCGTTTGCGTCGCTGCCCTAACTACAGTTTTGTCGGCGGCTTTCTTGTGCATGGGCAGGATCACTTTCTTCACTGCCTTCGGCGGGTTCGTCATTGGTATGATGGCATTCGCGCTCATGTTCACGTTCTTTTCCCTCGTCCCTTTCTTGCACCTCTTTGGTCCTGAGGGTGGCTGTGGTGATGTTCGCTGTCAAAAGATCTGCGGCAGCGACCCACATCGCTCTAACGAGGCAGAGGAGACCACTGCTCTCACTACTGGCGTTCAGGTGCGCACTTTTTCTGCGAGCACTCGCATGGCGACAATGGCTGCCGCAGTGGTCGTCCTACTTGTTGGCGGGGCTGTTCAAATTGCCATCACCGTTGGGGAAGGCTCAGATTCCTCTGCGACGTGCGAAGCACTAAGCGAGTTAGACTTCACATTCGAGCAGTACGCAATCCCAGCAGAATCTGATTCGTATCGCTGCCGCGACTTTGATCTGATCCCCGCCTCATGCACCTACTACGTGACTGGATGGGAGCCCATCATAGCAGACGGCTCGACCAGTTTCGTGCACCACATGATCTTGTTTTCAACTGATCGGACCGCGTCCCAGTGCACGTTCACGTGCTTTGACATGCCAGACATGATCGGAATGGATGCTGCTTGGGCAGTAGGTGGTGGTGATACAACGTTTCCGGATGGGATGGCCCTCACGATCGGTGGTACCAAGCACGCTTTGCAAATGCATTACAACAACGTTGCGTTGCAGAGTGGCGTCGTGGACACGCGCAGCGGCCTGAGGCTCAAGTTGTCACAAGTTCCGCCGACAAAATACATCACAACCATGATGCTCGGGCTGCATCCAATGGGAGACCTGAGCATACCGCCGTATGTGACGAACACGACAGTATTCGTAGAGTGCGCCCCGCAACTCCGCGGAGATGTCAAGGTGATCGGTTACAATAATCACGCGCACAAGCTCGGGTTCAGGATCACGACCGAGCTGCGCCGCCCGACGTCGCCAGGCTCAGCCAGTACGGATGCCGTCGGGGACGTAGGCAATGACTTGGTTTACGATTTCAACTACCAGCGCACGACTCTGTTCGAGGAGAGCGACTACAGGACCATCCAGCCAGGGGACAGCGTCCGAATTTTCTGCAGCTACAACTCGATGAGCCGCACGGTCACGACCTTCAGCGGCTTCGGCAGCGAGGCAGCATTGGGACGAGGGAGGAGGTGAGGACGAGGGGGGATGGACGTTGGGTTTCGGCAGCGAGGCAGCATTTGGAGGAGGAAGGAGGGAAGGACGAGCGGGATGGGGCTTCGGCAGCGAGGCAGCACTGGAAGGAGGGAGGAGGGAAGGACGTGGTGGCCCGGAGAAATGGAGGGAGGACGAGATGTGCCTCACCAGCCTGTACTTGGAGCCCGCTGATAATGTTTTGGAAACCGGCTGCTGGACAAACCGCGCCGACTACGACAGTTGATCGCGTCTCCGCCTCCTGTGAGCCTGTGAGCGTAGACCTCTGGGCGCCGACGATGTGATCCCGGGGGATCCCGACCCTCGGGTCCGGGTGTCGTGGCCGAAATCAGGACGCGGGCGGTTCTGCCCCGTTCGGTCTGGCATGCCCTGTCCAATTTGTCTGGCCCCCCCCCATGCAGCAGAGAGGGGGCGGGGTAGACGGAGGAGAATTGGGGATAAGGAGGAAAGGGGAGAGAAGGGGAAGGAGGAGGAGGGGGGACACGGGCGGGGGAGCATACGAGCGGGGGAGCATAGGGGCGGGGAAGCACGGGGAGGGGACAGGGAGGTTGGCTACGGAGAAAGAAGAAGAGAGGGACAAGGAGGATGAGGAGAAGGCGGAAGAGCAAGCAGCATGGAAAATGGAGGAGGGAGGAGAAGAGGAAGGGCATAAGGATGACAAGTAATAACCAAGGCTGAGGACGGAGTCGAATTGTGAAGACCAGGCATTCGGAATAGGAGGAGGATGGACTAGGAGAAGAGGGCGGGAAGCGAAGGAGCATCGCGATGGGTCCAGATCTTCTGTTCCAGCCGCGGAGTCGGGCTGTGCTTTGCGACGTCCGACATCACATCACTGGCGCGTGACAGGCAAAGACCTGCGCCACCACGCGAGGCGGAGAGTCGCTCCCGTGGGGACACCGCGGTTCAGACACACGGACCGGGGGAGGAGAATCGGCACCACCACCACCAGCAGGCCTCCTCCAGCGAGGATGTCCACGATGCCTCTCTGAGCTTCAGATTGGAGACATCTTCAGCGGAACGCCACAAACTCGGGGGGGCACACCGCCAGGACAGCCCTGCCTG